TTCTGCTGGGGAAGGGGTTAAGAGGTTTTATTCCCTCCCTAACTTCAGGGGAAAATCCCTACCTGGGGAAACAACCTTTCTCGGAGAGGTGACCTTGGTTAAAACACAGCGTTAAGAAGGTGAGAAAACATATTAAGAACAGTATGCCATATATGTCAGGTCCCTTGAAACAGCAAGGATGGACCGGCTCCCGGCAAATTCCCCCTTTTTTATTTTTTAAAAGCAGGCATTAAAAAGAAAAACCCCAAATGCTGCCCACTGCCACGAAACCAAACTCATGGGACAGGTTCTGGTTGAGAAGAAAACAAGCTTATTCAGGTGTCAACAACCTGAGAAAATGGCAGGTTCATGCCTTCAAAACCATGTTAACTTCTCAGTGCAGGCAGGGGCTTTTGTAGGGAGGGAGAGGGGAAGCAGAAGAAAGAGATCAGTGGGAGGGGCTGTGGGTGTGCAGGCGGTGTCCTTGCTGGTCCCGATGTGGATCGGTAATGTCAGCATACTGGAACTGGTCAGTGCTAGCCCAGTTCCTGCAGTTGGTCGACCTGCATCAACTGAAGTCACGGTCAAGGCTGTTTATTGTACAAGCAGGCACTGGAACTACTAATGCTTGCAATACACTTACAAGGAAACTGTCAGTGTATGAGTTCCTTTTAATCAATTTGTTAGTACACTTTATTCTAATTCCATTTCATGGTTAGTCAGAGTAGTATAAAGTTGTCTTCCATTGCATCAGGGATCAGTGGCAGGGACTTTTATCTATGTAGTCAGCTCCCTTCTGGCTCTGAGAAGGCACTTTCTCTTTCCACAGAAGACTGTGTCTTTCCTGCTAGAGCTGAAAACCTAAGACATCTCGCTGGATCAGAGTGGAACAGTCCCGTGCAGGGCAGAGCAGACCTGTAGGGAGCAGACCAGGGCTGTCTAGCTGGAGAGGGGCCTGACTCCAGGGCTTCATTGCCCCAGGACCACCTCATTGCCACGCTGTTTTTACAACTGTGATATATCAGTAATTTTTTAAATTGAATTTATTGGGATGACATTGATTAATGAAATTTTATAGATTTCAAGTGTACAATTCTATGATACACCATTTGTATATTATATTGTGTTTTCACCACCTCATGTGAATTCCCGGTCCATCACCATTTATTACCTCTTTACACTCTTTTATCTCCTCCCCACACCTCCCTTTCCCGCTAGTAATCACCATACTATGGTCTGTGTCTGTGAGATTTTTTTCTTTTTCCTTAATCCCTTCACTATTTTCACCCAGCCCCTAACTCCCCCCCCACCCCCAACAGCTGTCAGTCTATTTTCTGTATCTATGAGTCTTTCTATTGTTTTTGTTAATTAATTTTGTTCATTAGTTTCCACATATAAGTGAAATCATATGGCACTTGCCTTCCTGACTTTTTTCACTTAGCATAATCCTCTTCATGTCTATACATACAGAAGGTACACTGTACTTTATCACTATTAACATTTTCCACAGCCATGCAGTATCACAATTAGCTCTTTTACAGGGAGTAAATTTTTTTTCTTCACCACAATCCAAATTGGGGATTCCTGTTGACATTGAATTGGCACCAATGACTATTGGTTGAAACACTTTCAATTAAAGCTTATCTTTGTATTTATAGCATATTAAAACCTTTTAATTATGAGCTATGTCAGTTGTAAATGAAAATTAATTCAATTTTCCTGTAAGTGAAACAATATAACTGAGTTCTACAGGCCTGGTTATTTTTTAAGATATATTTTTATTGATATCTTAGACGATGGGAGAAAGATAGAAATATCAAGGGTGAGAGAGAATCATTGATCGAGCCCACAACCTGGGCATGTGCCCTGACCGGGAATTGAACCCTGACCTCCTGGTTCATAGATTGATGCTCAACCACTGAGTAACAGTGGCCAGGCCAA